CTAGAATTTCTAGAATTCAGGGCATTAAAAGCACCATTTTATTCATTCAATAATAGCTAATTCTTGTCTTACAAGGAGTAACGTGTTTTAATGGAGTTTTTGAAGAGACTTACTTTTACAATAGACGACTGACTTTTACAATTTAAACAGAGACCAACTCCAATTACTAAAATGTAAAAGTCAGCTGTCGAACGTAAAAGTAAGTCTCTTTATAAAACTCCAATATGCGTATTTAATTTTCAAATCATATAATTACATGTAGGTGGGGTAGGTAATATAGGAATAAAACTTTGTAACTGTTTTATATTTTAGAATGCAGCGAATTTTGCAGTTGCATCTGATGGTCACAAATTGCAATAATGTATTGAATTCAAAGTAATATAATGCAAACATTTAATTGAAAAGAATTATTTTTTTCCATAACTAAAATGTTCATAAAGATAGGCTCATGAATCTCTTCGTGATCTAGACGAATGTGTTAACCTTTCGTTTTCATGGCCTATCAAAAATAGAACATATTTAAACTTAAGTACTGAATGTTTTTTTTATTCGAGTGCCTTGAGCATGACCGAAAGTACATGTCTTTCCACTGGAAAGTAAAAGAAAAACCCAGATTTTTTCTCATCGAAGTCTCCCGCTGTTTATTGGGTTAGTGTAAATTTTAAGCCATGAGAAATAGTGACATTAATAAAAATCAACAATAAATAATTTGAAGCTTATTATTTTATCATACGCGCAATTTGTAAAATAACTTTTACCCTCTCTACAACGTTATAGTTATTGTACTATGTTATTTCTGAGTATAAAACGTCTGAAGTATTTCTTGAACAGTCACTCAGTCAAAGAAAACAAAAGATGATTTTGAAAAAAAAGCCCGACAGCCAAGGACTGCACAACACGGCAATGCGATTTCAATGGATCTGTTATTTAAAAGAAAATATCGGGAGAAAATCTTAATGATTCATATATAATTATCATGGGTTTAATCAATGAAAATATTTTGACATTTTTGGACTTTTACAACAGTATTCAATCCTGACCGAGATTTGTACTTCTGATCTGAAATTTTCATTTGAAGTATGTTTTCTTTACTTTTATTATGAAGCTTTTATACATTAAATTTTGATTTTTGCTGAAATGACCGAAAGAAGGATTTTTACCAATTCGTAGCTGAAAAAAAACAACCAAAACTGTCAAACACTTTATCTAAATGTAATCAATGATTGGCATGTTAATAAAACCCCTCTTTCTTTATATAGAGCGAATCGACTTTTTTGAAATCCTCAATTTCAGTAACATGGGCTCAGGCGTACTTATATGTATTTATGATTGCAGTAATGAACCAGATAGAATGATTGCGGTACATTGTAAGTGGGCAAAATTGTCATACAAAACAATTACATGAAGAAAAATAGTCTGTGAAATATTTCTATGGGGAAGAAAACAATAAAATTAATGTTACCTTTGCATAAATTTCTGTCAAAATCAGATCAAAATATTAGTGAAGTAGCAATTTTTCCAATATTAATGCTCTTTGAGACAGAATTTTCAGTTGCATGAAGGATATTGAGATAACGAACAGTATTCAGTCTCAAAGTCTATAAAACAATACAAAATAAGAGCAGAGCAAACACGGACCCCCGAAACATCAGAGGTGGGATCAGGTGCCATGGAGGAGTGAGCACACCTGCCGTGTGCTCCTTGTCATGATCTGGAAATAACGGAAAAAATCTGCGTCAATTCAATGTATAAATAATGGACTAATAATTGGTATGAAAAACGTCAGTCAGCATTTGACTTAATGATAAATTGTATTTGCTGACAAGGTCATTGTATCGACCATAGAACTTACGAAATGATATTAATATACCTAGTAATGAACTCCTCAAATCATACAAAGCCTTCTTCTCCAATTTTCTTCAACATTTTTATAAATTTCATATCACCTATTATTCAAAAAATAAAATTTAAGTTTTGATTATTGGGAGGAGAAAAAACGAATAATTTTATGAAAAATATAATCTATTTTTCGTAGCTCATATAATACGCACAAAGGTAACAAAACCCTTTTAAAATACCTTAAGCTTTTGCGCTGCGGTACACTGAAGATTGAGTGACCAGTATATATAGCATTATACCCAGGTAGCATAACCATACCTTTTTGAAATCTGAAAGGATTTACAGGCCTGCTCCGCTGAGAGAAAATGAGGAACCAGTTTTTTATTTTCCTTCTCACACTGTTAATTTTCTTAACAGCTAGAACTTATGCAGGTGCGTAGACTTTTTGACATTATTAAATTTTCTTATCATTTTTATCGATATGAAATATGGCGTTTAAAATGTTCAACTATTATACACATTTTTATAGAGGAACATATTTTTTTTTTATTTTATTAGCATTTTTGTTAAATAGAAACTAATACATATTTCAGCAGGAATATTCATATACTTATAAAACCTGCATTTTAAATTCCAAATTCGCAAAACATTGTGAGAAAAACTTGATTTCTTTTGTTTTTAAAGGCAAAATATTTTTTTTAATTTAATACAGTTTTGGTGCTATATATATATTTCCTAATTCTAGGCTAAATCATTACATGCATTTTAATAATGTTCCAAATTAAAAGATGCTAAATTAAATTAAAAGAATAGTTCTCTCAAATATTGTAATTTTCAACTCTCTTACGACCACACATTCCTTGACCCTATTTCGGAAGGGACCTGTCCTCGATTTTTTTTGTGCAGATTATAATGAAAATAGATTTTGACACTTCTCTTAAATAAGATTTCAATTTTATGAGCTTCATTATTTTTCAGATTGATGATTTTTATACTAAAATCTATCATTAATAATCTGCAGTAACAACTTAAACCCAAAGTTATGATATCATTATAAATGCATTTTATGAATTGATCCACACTACACACGAGTATGCTGCATTAAGGGTATTTTTTTTACTAAAAATTTTTTATCTCTACACTATCAAATTTCAACACGAAATTTGTTTTCAGAATTCGGCTGCAAGGAGAACTTTATTGAGGAAAAGTTTGGTGAACTGTGTGAGGACAGACTGAGGATTCACTGGCTGAACGATAAAAAGTTGATGTGCTCCAATAAATATCAGAGGAGACTCTGCTGTAAATTCTGTACCGAGACCCAGGAATCACAAGGTAAACAAGTCATTGTCGAATATTTATTTTTAATCTGAATTTAGAAATGGTTTCATGAAAAAAATTTGAATTTGTTGAAAATTATTGTAACTATCCGACATAATTAACAGGTATATGAAAGGATAGATTAAATTAACGTCAAAATAAGTATTAGGAATCAAATGATCAAAACAAATACATTTGTACATTTTCTCTCAATGATCTCGTATTTCAACTTACGGTAATTATTTGATAATTTCCTACATATGAAGGAAAGGCATGTTTGTAGAGAGACATATATTGACTCAATACTTGCAAAAAGCTTATGAAATTATTTTTATTCACTTATCAAATTGTTGTTACTCAACAAAATTAGGAGAAATATTTGTCAGATCACTGATAAAGACAGTGGAGAACATTCTGTACATTTCGACATTAATTTTCAGATACGGATGAGTCTAAAGATGTTCTGATGAAGAGAATACTGGACATTTTGGAATCATCTGAAAGACGATAAAAAGATGTAGATGCATTGTAATAGTACAAAAACAGATACAAGCTCAGTGCGATTGTTAGAGTAGAAGTCTGCACCAACTCTTTCCATTATTTTTTTTTATATACTTATTTAAACATGTTTTCAAAGCAGTAAATCAAATAATATTAGATTTTCCTTTCTATCATGATTTTTATTACTAAAAAAGGGTTATAATATCAATTAGTGATAATACGTATATAAGATATGAAATACCTTTCATCCATTACCCCAGGATAAATTTTGTTTACGTATTGTTAATCATCGTGAAAAGCATGTAAAATCCAGAGTGCAAGGATTGTCTTACAAATACATATTTTAATCTTTGTTTTTACCACCAAACTACACAAAGAAAATAAATTTATCTTCTTTTATTATTTTTTTCTCATCTAATATGATTAGAGCAAGAAAACGATAAATTTGAAGAATTTAATTTATTTATTGTTTATTTATTAATATTTTTGATGAAACAAGCATTTCTAATTATTTTTTTAAATTGATGGTGGTTAAATCTTTGATGACTTATACGTTTGTATGTTGTAAATAAAGATATCAATTTCTTTTTTACCATTGATGGTAGTTAAATCTTTGATGACTTACATGTTTGTATGGTGTAAATAAAGATTTGACCCATATCCCTCCTGCTAAATAATTCGAAACCAGTTTTCAAAGGATTTTTAAAAAATCTTATCTATTGAAAAGGACATTGTTGTCAAAATTGAATGGGCATTCGAAGGACGCACATCTATTGAAGGGCGACAGTGCACGCTGCGAATCTGCCCAATCAATTCAGTTTACATTGTATGTTTGATTACTGGCTAATCATTTTATAAAGAGGATTTCATCACCTTAGCTGTTAAAAATCTTAAGTGACATTCTCAGCCAGTCAACAAACTGAGACGAAATTACTCTGATCTTCACTACAGATTCTTAAAACGAATTCCTTCATGATAACTTTGTATAAAAAAGAAAATATTGAATTTAAATTTAAAAATTCAAAATTAACGTTTGTTACTTAAAAAAGTGATAAAAAGTCATGCCGCTCATATGTATCTAGCAAGGCAACAAAGAAGAATTTTAATTTTTCTAATATGTAGTAGATCTTTCAAAGAGCTATACTGTCAATCATAAGCTTTCCCTGTTTTATTTCGCACTTTTCATATACATGTATACAGAGACTTACAAAATATAAACATATCAGTTTTGATCTCATTAACTTTTTAGCATTGAAAAAATACAGTAATAATGCTGAAATATCCATACTCTTATGAACATAAAAAGGTTTAATAGGGAAAAAAGAGAAAAAAAATCATATGTATTCATTTTAATGATTTATTTATGCAGATCTATTTAAAGATAAATTCAATGAACATTCACAAAAATAATCAATACTGTATAATGACGTACAAAAGTATATATCATTCATTGTAAACAAATGAGTCACGAAATAAAACAATATATAATATACTGTACATAATGAATCCTCAAATTTCCAAACAATCGGCAAAGTTTATATTATAATGAACTAACTTTTTTGGGAAAAGTTTCAAATAAGTATTCAGTCATTTGTAGAATAGTTAAGTTTTAAATATGTACATGTCAATCTAGAAATACCGGTATAGCGGGAGAACTAAACTCAATCCATAGAGCAGTGCAAAAACACTAATGGTTAAGATCACATAACTGTTTTATCGAGGGAAAAAATCCTTGTATAAAACTTTAATGATAACCTTAAGAATTTTAATAAAATTAAAAACAATATCAAACATAGATAAAAAAAAAGTTGATGTTAAAGTACAAAGAATGAAGTACACAATGTTTGTATTTCTAGTTTATTTTCTTTACAGTTTTTTGTACATAATCTATTTTATTACGATACGAAATATTTACATATATAAACTTATTTACATGAAGAAGATAGCCCGGTACATCATGCAAAAGCCTGTAGTGAATCAGTCCTGTGTCTGTATCTGTATTTGTACTGTAATTACTACAGAGTCTGGTAACTTGTGTCCTTAAAAAGATCCCTGGTGTCCTTGAACGTTGTCCACTGAAAAGAAATAAAGCATCAGATAAACCTTTTTTTTTTTTTACATACATTTAATCTAATCTTATTTTCCTCACCTTTCTTTAAGGAAACCACAAAGTAGGTATACATGTACCTTAAATGTGACATACCTACTGATAATTTTTAAAGATATTCTTCAATATTGTTTTACCGTGACAATGGCAACAATAGATCCTGCAAAGCTAACCCAAAAGGACCACCCCCTGGTATCATGTGTATACTCTGCAAAAACAGCCACGCAGCCTATCAGTCCTAGGATGCCTAAAATACGCATAAAATATATGCAGATTAATTGATAAAACTATCATTATTTTATATATTTTAAAAAGATATCCTTTTAATTGTTGCTATATTTGGATATATAATTAAATAATTAGAGACTTTTTATTGATTTTTGAATTTTTTTTACTTCTATTACATGTACATTACAAATTATTGTATATTTTTATATAAATATCGAAATCTGTTGCTGTAAGAAACATCTGATATGCCTTTTAATCCTAAATAGAATTTCTTAATTTTAAAAAAGAAAATTTTCAGTTTCCAAATATAAAGATGAAACCTCCAATCCCAAAGAAAAATGCACAGATACAGCGAGCCTTTGCAGTCATGGGATTGTTTTCTCCATAGCAACACTCTAGGACGATATTTACAATGGTTGTCATGGCAAGCAGGGCAAAGGCGACAGACTCCAAACCCAGGACCGCGGAATGAAGGTCTGAAATAATAAAAGTTATTGCTGTAAGTTACTTAAAGATGCTTATATTCAGACGAAAAGGATCAATTAATTAACTGGTAAACATAATCATTTCATAATTTCAATACATCTTTATATAATATTATAAAATCTGCAAGTGTTCTATATGTGCATGCAATATTTATGCAGTTATATCCAGTACGAATTTGAATATAAGTTATGTAACTGATTTCTGGACTATATCGTTCGGTTATTTTGTGTAATCAGAGAAGAAGAAATATAATTTAAAGATTATAATTTACTTTAAACCTTTGTGTTTGTACCTTCAGTTCAGTTAAACTGTATATTTCTATCTTGGAATAAAAATATGAATCAAAATGAAGTAGAGGTATAACTGAATTAAAGTAATATAAATCTTCAATTCATTTAATGTTCGGAGGTTGGTAAAAATTAATCTGAATCTAATCTAAAATAGATGCAATTGTTTTGAAGATATGCGAAAATATATGAGTTTATGAAATATTTGACATTCCATAGGAAAGCACAATGCATAAGAATTAGACAAATTGCTTGAAATTTTTGTAAGAAAAAGTTAAACGGCCTTTACTGATTGATGCATCAAAGAAGCGGGTTTTATAAGAGATAAAAAATCGTCTTTGATTTAAATATAAAATATTGATGTAAGTATAGCAATTAAATAATCTTTGTTTATTTTATATAATCTCTAATTACATTCATTTGGCATGATATTGAAAACCGTACAATCAATTCATTTATTTTAGCATTTTCCATGAGAAAATGATATATGGTTCACAAACTATGCATGTGACTAAAGGTCGCATATTTACTTGTTACGTCACTGGAAATCCCTAATTAGCTTGTTCGCAGATCAGAATGGAAGGAAAATGTTTTCTACTTTCATTTTGAATAAACAGAATTTTCTTATGCTTAAACATCTTATTTGCAAATACTGTAAAATGTAATAAATTCTTAATAATATAATTTTCTGAGACGAACCTATACATTTTATTGTAAGTCTTTGAGACACTTTGTACTTTAACGTTTTTTGTAAAAAAAAATATACATGTAACTATTAATGCATTTACTGGTGATATATATACAAACACAATTAAAAAGTCTCTACCTTCGACATCACTGGTACAGTTCTTATTAACGAGAAGTCCTTGTGTACAGTTATACTTTTCATTTTCTATCCAGTGAGGGGTGAAAAACCCCACCCCCTGTAAGGCCAGGGCGGGGAGGTATTTACACAGCAGAAAAAATCCACGGTGGACAGATTCACGCGACATACTGCCCTCTGTAATTCTAATTCCAATATCAAAGTCAAGATAAATGAAAAAAAATATGCAACCAGGTGCAAAGGTTGCAATATTGCGTAACACGCAAGACAATTCGCTTTGTTTAAACTTTGTGACCCAATTCTTTTTTATTCATGAAGAATGAATTCACGTGACAGCATATTTATAGAAATTTAACAGGATGGAGTATTTAAAATAGAAATGCAATGAAACAGAGGCATTTTTATTTATAAAACCTCCTCCAAGATTTTTTTACAATAAGTAAACGAATGCTTAATGGGAATATTGTACGTTCTTTGCAATATACATGTATGTTTTTTTAGAAAGATGTTAGCATCTTGAGTATTGCATGGCGTTTAATAAAAACCACATTTATTCAAATTTATTTCAAGCCCACAATATGCAAATTGAAGATTGGGTGTTTGTACATTTTTCTGAAAAATCTTTTGCTGTTGTTTTGATTCATGTTTGTATTTTTTTATGTTTGTTAGAACTCATATTCAAAATCGTATGTCATATGTCAGTTTTAAATATTTTTAATGTTCCACAGAGCCAAAATAAATTTGAACTACCCAATATATATTGGATTCAGAAACTTTAAAATATTTCTTACAATGATACATTGCGGGTTCCAGTAAATGTTCAACCAAGCCTCTTTCGCTACTCCTCACTAAGACATTGACAGTAGTGAAGGAAGACGTCAAGAATACTGTGCAACAATACATTCAATAAGTGGTGTGAATCAGATGTAGATATTCAAAACTTTAAAGGAACATTTAGACAATTTGAAATCACAGATTTTACCAAAACAAATAGCTTAAAAACTTAATTACGACTTTTCAACTTTATTCACAACCGTTCCCCATGATAAATTAAATTCCAGGCTTTTTGATATTATTGACAGCTGCTTTTTCAATAATAATGGAACTCTGTAAATTTACTTACCTGATCATTGGTCATTTGCAAAATTATTTTGTTAAAACACATTCTGACACTCTTAAGTTAACATCAAAGAGGTTCTTGAGTTTCTGATTGACAATGTCTATGTGGTTTTTGGAAACCAAGGGCCCGTTTTACAAAAGAACTTACGACTAAGATAAAAAACTTCAGATGATTGTAGAATTTTGCAAACTTAACAATTCTCTTTGAAATTGTTTGAGTAAAAATATCTTACAACATTCCTTTAAATAAGTTTTAAAAATTTTTAAATAAAAAGTTAGTTAAAAAGTTATATGAAGAATTAAATTTGGTCTTAAGTCGTAAGTCCTTCCGTAAAACGGGCCCCAGGAACACCAACAATCTATTAGAATTCCCATGGTTACGAATTGCGCTCCGTTATTAGCATACCTATTTTTATATTCATATGCATTTGTGCAAAATCTTATGCGTGAAAAAAAGAAAACACTTACAGTGGCCTTCAACTCGACATTTAGATATATCGATGAAGTATTGTTAATTAACAATGGTAATTTCCATTCCTACGGCGATACGATATATTCTGGTGAGCTTGAGAAAAAAGATACATGTACCACACAGTCTGACCATCTATTTCATACTTGGATATTTTACTTGAAAAAGACGTTGATGGTAATCTAACAAACAAGCTATATGATAAACGTGATGACTCTAATTTTTCTATCGCCAACTTCGAACAGAATAAAACACTTGCTGTGGCCTGCAACTCGACATTTAGATATATCGACGACGTATTGTCAATTAATAATGATAATTTCCATTCCTACGTCGACACGATTTATCCTGGTGAGCTTGAGATAAAAGATACCACAGAGTCCGACACATCTGCTTCATACTTGGATATTTTACTTGAAAAAGACACTAATGGTAATCTAACAACCAAGCTATATGATAAACGTGATGACTTTAACTTTTCTATCGTCAACTTCCCTTACTTATGCAGCATTATACCCTTATGACCTGCATACGGAGTATATACCTCTCAGTTGATTCGATACGCAAGAGCATGCTCTACGTATGAAAAATTTCTAAAACGTGGTAAATTATTGACAAGCAAGTTGATGAAACAAGAATATCAGCAATCTCGTTTAAAGTCATCATTTTGTAAGTTCTATGGTCGATACAATGGCGTTTTCAGCAAATACAATTTATCATATTGAGTCAAATTCTGACTGACTTTATTCATACAAATTGTAAGTCCATTATTTATACACTGAATTGACGATGGATTTTCCCGTTATTTCCCGATCATGACAAGGAACACACGGCGGGTGTGACCGGTCGGCAGGGGATGCTCACTCCTCCGTGGCACCTGATCCAACCTCTGATGTTTTGGAGGTCCGTGTTTGCTCTGTTTAAATAATTTTGTATTTTTTTATGGACTTTGAGATTGAATACTGTTTGTTATCTCCATATCCTTCTCATAGTAAAAATATTTTGAGATGACAGTTTGAAGTATGGAGAGATATTTCGAGAAACAGCACAATTTTTGTGCGTAATAATGATAAAACTTTTTGCAGTTGACATCTCTGCAGTTTTTTTTAAAGATAGCTACTGTTCATCTCCTAACCGTTCGGTTGGACACTGCATGGAAAATTTCCGTCTTTGACGAAAATGAAAAAAAATTAGATAAAAAGTGCACCCCTTATGCCTAGGTCAAATTTAAGCCGATGGTCGGACGACTAAATTTTTCTTGTCTTGTCGGATGTAAGAACATGATCGGCGACACGGAGCAGTCACATTTATTTAATTCCTAGGAACACCGATGACTTGAATAAATAACACAACTTTTTTCTTCAGAAATCAGCAATATTTTTCTTAGATCTATATTCAGATAGATGACGTGAGTAATGTTTGCAAGGCAAAGTGGCAGAATTTTGTAAGATTGTGACTCAATGTTGAAAATGTTTGCAAAATTTTGTATAAAATTGCATAAAAAAGACAAACGGCGCATTTCTAAGCAGCAAAAAATGCCTAATTTTTTTTAATATCTTACGGATTAATTATTTATGTTATATCCGTTCAAAAAATATATATCAATCCATGCATCAAAATTTTGTTTGTGTTATGTATCCTTAATAGGACGAATATTCACAAGTCGACCAATCGTCCGATCGACTTAATAAACTGACCGCCGATGGTCGGACGATGATCGAAGGTTGGTTTCTTCAACCGAAGAAATCGGCCACCGACACAGAAAAAAATATAAGTTGGACCGATGGACACAAAATTTGTCGGCCGACAAAAATGAGTTTAAAATCGGGCAAGACAATGGCCGATGAACTGTCAACCGAAGAATCCCAACTTTGCTTCAAACGCCGTCGGCCGTTGGTCATTATTGGAAATGTGACTGGGGTTTTACACACATTCGAGCAAAGAAATATGATCATTGTTCACTCGGTTTGGCAAAGAGGCAAACCGTCCATTGACAAAGTTTGATGATAATTCTAAGGCAATGGGTATCAGAAATATTTAATTATAGTCATTAATTTCAAAAGTAGGTCACGGTGACCTACTTTTAAATGGATTATCTCCGATGAAGACGTGCATCAACAGTCAAAGCTCGATGATTCTATTTAGCAAATTAGTACAAGAAATTTTCTTAAATAGCCATAACATTTCAAAAGTACGTCAAGGTGACCATTTCAACTGACTTCTCAAACGACCAAAGTCACCAAATATACATCAACTGAAAAAGTTTGATTATCATAGGCCTTAAAGTGTTCTAAATATGCCCATAAAACCATTTGAAAACGAATGCCTGCAAAATTCAAAAGTAAATCACTATTATCTATTTTTTTTTGGATAAATCTATTTGAAGACCCAGAGATGCATAATTTTCAAAAGTTTGATAAGTCTAAACCTCTTAGTATTAGAAATGATTACCTAAGTGTTTTCAAAATGATTAGCCATATAATATAAAAAATTAGGTCATTGTGTCCTCTTTCTTCAGTTGACATACTTTGAGGACCAAATTACGTAATTTAGTAAGTTGGATGACCATAGGCATAAAGCGTCCAAAATATGATTCGAAATCAATTTGTCATTAATGCAAACAAATATTCGACAAGATGTTTGTGAAACTCTATGCCACCGATGGTAATTAAGAAGAGGATCAAAGTCTTATGTCAAGGTCAAAAATATTTATATGAGCTGAAAGGTTTTGTCACAATAAATATACTTATGAAGGATAAATGTCCTAGCTCCAACTGTTCAAAAGTTATATGGCCAATGTAATGTGCGTTTTTTTTTTTTGAAAAGTAGATCCAACTCAAAGGCCATGCAACCCTAATTGTTCAAAACTTATGACCAATGTTAAAGATTTAAGTAGTGTATCATGCCCTTCTGATCGTCCGATCCGGGGGCATAAAACTAGGTCACTATGACCTTCTTTTAATCAACATGGTATAATGTCCTAAGATGCATGAAGTGACAAGATTTTAGGATCCTAATCCTGATAGTAAGCACACTATCAAAGTTTTAATAAAATGTAATTTTTAGTCATCTTTGAATTGACCATGAGATAATTACTGCCTTTGCCTCAAAGTGATTCCTTGAACAATTTTAACTTCAAAATACCTTCATCCTTTTTATGTAAGTTTGGTGATAATATGCCATGTGGTTCCTGAGAATAAGATTTTTTAACAACCAATACATTTGGTTTTCTTTTCCTAATTATCTTCCCATAGTTAAGGATCACATATCCCTAGTTTTAGTATAAATGGGAGCTCTTAGGCCAAGCAAGAATACGCTGTGATATGATAGACAAAATTGGCAAAGGGGTTCTTGAGTTATGGCCCCTTTTCTAAAACGTTAATGCACACCTCAGAAATGGCCATAGCATTAGCTCAAAATGTAGACAGGTGATTTTTATGTCCCGTAATGGAAGATCCGGGAGTATATAGATTTTGCCCTGTCTGTCCTCAAAAACTTTAACTTTGTCCATAACTTTTGACTAGTTGAGACCTTGGCTCTCATATTTCACATGCGTACATGCATTTCTTGTGACAAGACTTCTTTGGTTATCTTTAAATTTGACCATATTATTTTGACCTTGGAGTTTGATCAAGTTTTACAAAATTTTACCCAATTTGAACATTGGCCTTAACTTATGAATGATTGATGCTAGGGATTTCATTCTTTACATATGTAATTTTTGTGACAAGACTTTCCACTGCAT